AGTCAGTTCACTAGCAAGACGGCAATGGGATGAATCAGGATGGTACGAGTATGGAGGATTTTTCTTTTCGGTGTCAGCTTAAAGAGATGCAATATTGCACACTCACCATTCATTTTAGCTTCTCTATCTAAGAGCCATCCCGTCCATTTATTATACCTAAACCGGCTATGGATACATCAATTATAGTGTATTATGATAGGATGATGAAAGCTACAGCACCGAAATAAAAGTAGTATAGAAAAAAGAGAAATATAAGAACCGTCATGATAAGTACTATTTATGCAATTATTTTCAGTATAATAAGCTTAAAGTATATGTTTATCTGTCAGACGTAGTACTCTACATTTACTACAACAACCTAGCGTCTTACACCAACTCTCTGTCTATCAAGCAAGATATAGATCTGAATCTGTTGCTGCTGCTATGGAAAGGAAGTATAACATGAAGCTACGGGAAACTATATAGTTCGGAAAATAACTGCTAATATTTTAATTGCTGAATCGCCAGCACCTAATTTTTAATAAATGAATTAAATCGTAGCATTGCAACAAGTTTCTCCAAATAATAGCGCAATCGTACTTCTTCAGTAAAGAGGTGCACCGTTTCCAAACACAAAGTTAGGATCCCAGATAGATTTAAGTTTTCGAAGTCTTGGCAAATTGGCAGCAGAGTACCACGCGGCTGCGCCTTCGTCTCCAAAGGCATAGTTAAAGTAGACGTGCGGTGTATCGAAGCCGCTAGTAGTTTGCAGATTGGTGCGTTGCCCTATCATGAATTTGTCCACCTGGGGTCCGAGAGAGGCATCACTGTACTGGTTTTGCGTTAACCTGCGGAAAAAGAAAAAGAAAGTGGCAAAATTAGCATAAGTTCACACAGATACAGGAGAGTAGCTAATGAGTTAGAAGCACTTACCACCAAACTTGGATATCGCGCCATGGGAAGACGGTCTCAGAGGCCGGCGTCTTGAGAGTTTGTTTGTTGCTATAATATTGAAATACCGATATCCCCGCGAAAGAAGGATTTGTAATGTAAAAGGCCGTCATATCAGCAAAGTGAGCCTCGTAGCTTGAGACAACTGTCTGGTTGAAGCCTAAGCTATGAGCACTGATGATATGTCCCCTGTCACACACTCCAGCTGTCTCGGACTGATAATACAGATCGGTCTGGGGAAGATATGTCACAGACTGGACAACTGGACCAGCGGCAGCAAACGTGTCAATGTATGGCTGCGCCTCTGATACGGGCCCAAAGTACCAGAGCTGTACAACTATTTGCGATGCGTTGGAAGCCCGGTTAAACTGGATAACAGTTTGGAACGACAGCTTGGCCGGCTGGTTGCCATCAAACGTCTTCATAGTCTCAAAGAGTGTGCGATTAGAGGCCGCAGCATACACAAAGGTTACTGCGGTCACGTTGCCTTCGTTAGTCTGGTCGTGAATTCCGTAGGTTGCCTCTGTGACGATGCCAAAGTTGACGCCAGCTCCTCGGATAGCCCAGAATAAATCACTATTTTCCGTGGCCGAAGCTTTCACTAACTGGCCCTTTGCAGTAATCATACGGACGGATTTAAGGGTGTCGATCATGAGGCCGTACATGCCCGTCATCATGCCAATACCGGCGCCTATGGTCACCCCGATAGCACCCGGGCAGATCGAATTACCGGTTTCTAGATAAATCCCAACTTAGTATTGTGGTTTTCTTCTTTGATTTGTTCTCACAATTGTTTCATTTGGATGCGATGTGCAGAACAAACAGACAATGCTTACGGATTTCTTTGCCCACATTGTACAATCCTGTCTGAACGTCCCATAGTTTGACGCCAGCTCCAACGGTCACCAAATTGTTGGCAGTATCAATGCTGACAGTATTAAAACTACCAAGATTTATATTGATACCAGTAAACGAGCCTTGGCCTTGTTTCGGGCCATGGCCGCCATTGGTTGCAATGAATGGGATATTGTTCTCTACAGAGATTTGAACCTATGATTTCTATAAGATCTTCCGAAATAATGATAGCGTCGAGCAAATGCAACTCACTATCTTCTGAAGATCTGCCTCCGTTGCTGGCTTGATTGCGCCAGACCAAGCCGGAGCCTCCCAAGCCGACCACCGTGGTCCAACAACGGAGGAAAAGTTAGCGTCTGTTGAAGAAGCGATTTCGGTAGCGGGTGAAACCGATGATTCGAACAACTCTTCAATTGTACAAGCAGCACGCCCGGGGGCTTTCTTCCCATAGGCTACCAATCCAGGGGCTACTGCCGCCAAGGCTAAGAGACGAGTCAACATGATTGGAAGAGAACAGAAGACGAAACCGAAAAAGGTACGCTGGACTTGGCAATGTAGAAATTGGTAGGATCTGCAGCCTCGGCATGGCCCATTATATCAATGTGCAGAGAGTTACGGAGTAGAGAGTATCCGATTGCTGTCAGACCATATCAGCCCACCGATCTGATTTGAACCATCATCTCATCACACATTCTGGACGCTTCAAGACATAACTCCGCGGTATTGAATCCATGGCAGAGCAACAGTTTGCGTGTTCAGACAGGATGTCATCCCAGTATTATTGTGCAACGGATAATCGGATGAGAGGATCCATGTAGAGCTAGCTGTGTTCAATAAGACTGAATGTAACGCTGTTCCGCAAGCTGACAAAACTTGTCATCAATTCTGCAGATCTGATTGAACGTCGCATCAACAAAACCCCGCCGGAACGCAGCGTAGCCGCCTTGTCGCCAAACCCTGGACAACCAGAACTTGGAATAAGGACTTGAGACGGACGAACCGCTACTTTGGGTATTATTGGTAACTGTGGTAAGTGGATCTAGGCAAATTTCCTGACCTTTTCGTATCTTGCGTGCATCTTTTCGAAGCTGTCGTGAGTTTACCCTGTACTTTCTTATTGACCGACAATTTTTTTTTCAGTTGTAGAATGTGGCAGTATGCTCAATATTGTGCTCTGACAGAACCCAGCAATAATTTAATCTTGAAATGCATTTATCTATTTCTTAATTCTTCTCAGTTTTGATAGAGATTGAGTTGGCTATTGGTTGGGAAGTTATAGCTTCGCTGTTGTAGACCTTTACAAATAGCCTCCCTTAGATATTTACAAAGTGGATAATGGCGTGCAGAAAAGTAAAACATATTTCACAAAAAGCTCGAGGATATAATAAATAAAATTTCTGTCATTTTTTCTTATCATTTGCGTCTGTAAACTATCTGTACGCATGAGATAAATAGATGCCACACTCCGCATGCAGTGCACAGCTGAAATCGTCTATTCCATCCAAAGCCCAATCAGTTTCTGTCTCTAAACCACCATGACGGACGGGTCACCGTCGCCCCAGACATGGTTCGCCTTCCACGTCTTCATCTTCCAAATATCACCAATTTTGACGGCGTCAGCGTTGTAGATGGCACCAGTGGTAAACTTGTTAGGGCCAGGCTCAAATCCTTTGCCGTGGCGGCAGTGCTGAGCGAGGGACGTGAATGTCACACGAGCCGTTGTTGGCGTATCGATGCTAATGCGAATGTTGGTCAGGTAGTGGATGGTGTCGACTTTGATGACATTGTCCCAAACTTTGGTCTTTAATTCTTGCGCGCTGCTGACTGTTGTGCCGGCGACTTCAGCATATATGTCATCGGTCACGGCCGACCAGTAAAGCTCTTCGTCGGCGTGGTCAATGGAGGCCGTCGTGCGGTAGATGGCATCAGTGATGGCCTCTCGGTCACTCAAAGGTGGACCAGCAAGGATGACGGGCAGAGGAGTAGCAGGCATGGTGTCTGACTGCGGACAATTGAAAGTGCGTAGAGTGTGGGTCGGGATGCAGGTCAAGATGCAGGTCAAGATGGCGTGTCTGAACCAAAAAACGGCCTCGATAACATGTCGGCGATCTACTTCTTATGTATTCAAATGTCAACAGTACAGGCGGGATAACATCTCAAATAATAGAATTCTCGGCGAAGCCTGTCAAATGGACTCAATCAATTGTCATTCTGTGCGGCGGACATGAATTACATCCAGCTTATGGTGCACAATGCCCTCGGAACATATACAGTCCGATGAGCCAAAGTGAGTATGCGAGCACTATAACGCACCGCAATACAAGTTGTCAGCTTATTAAAGTCTGGTAGCTTACAAGGATGCATTGCAGGATCAATTCAAGGTCAGGCTTCATGTGATTAGTGATTGATCTAGGGTACTACGGTCCTAAATCAGCTGTGGCCACATTCCACGCAGGAGCTGATAGCAGGGGTGGTTTATCTTGTGTAGTATTCAATAAGCACATAGTAGGATTGCCGCACATTGTTGTTCATACAATGCTACTTTCTTCAGGTACAGCTTGGAAGCCTTATGTGGGAGAATCGTATGCGAATAAGCTAAATGTCCCGCCTTAGCCAATTAATCATAGAGCCGTACTCCGTACTCCGTAGCAAGGTCCGCTTCAGCGTAACCTTGGAAATGTCGGCAATTTGATAACTTTGTTGATACAATTAACTACCGTTTCAATTCTCACATAAGAAGGATGATAGGGCCCCTTCGGACAAAGGCTCTTCCGACAACAGAGGCCAGCAAAGTTGGTCCCGCAGTAACTAGAATGAATCATCGCTTATCGTAGATTTCGAGTTAAAGTCCGTATCGCTAGAAGCACGGCTATCTCCAAATCAGAATAGACAAACTCCTCTGCATTAGCAAAGAAAGACCTTACTAGGAAATTGGTACGATAAGAGTGGATCTGTCTTGTTAGCAGTAAATAACTAGTTAAGAAGAATCTAGGACCGCCAGGTACTCAGAGGCTCTAGATATTGCAGCTCTTTAACTTGATTCAACTCAGTGTTGCCTTGGATAACGATCTCTTCACACTTCAACTGATCAAACGTCCAAACACCATTTAGCCCAACGCCATTTTTGGTTCATACCCATTAGCTCTATCCAAGAGTAACCGAGCCTTTGCGTTGTCAGTATTCGAGGACAAGTCATTTTACTTCTTTAAACAAAGATGGATGACTACGGTGAGTTGGCCAGTGAGCCAATTGCCATCATTGGCATGAGCTGCAAATTTTCCGGTGGTGTCACCGACCCAGAGACGCTGTGGGATCTCTTAGCTTCCGGAAGGACAGGTTGGAGTGAGATACCAGAAGAACGGTTCAACCTCAAGGGAGTTTACCACCCTAACAACGAGAGGATTGCAACGGTAAGTCAACTTAGCCACCAAGCAAGCGAACTCGTCAGCGCTGACAACTAGACAGTCACATGTTAAAGGAGCGCATTTCATCCAAGAAGACGTAACAAGTTTTGATGCTGCGTTCTTCAACTACTCAGGCGAGACAGCGCAAGCCCTTGATCCGCAGTTTCGACTGCAGCTTGAATCGACATTCGAGGCGTTGGAGAATGGTGAGTAACTGCCATTTATCTCTTCCATGAATCTTTTCCTGTGTAGAGCCTTTTTGTTAACCACAAACACGAGTTAGCTGGCCTCACGATGGACCAGGTGGCCGGATCCCAGACGTCCGTTTTTGCTGGAGTGTTTACGCATGATTATCACGAGGCCCTAGTACGTGACGAGGACCGATTACCACGGTTCATGTTGGTGGGCACCTGGAATCCGATGTCATCGAACCGCATTTCACATTTCTTCGACTTCCGCGGAGCCAGCATGACCCTCGAAACGGGCTGCTCAACCACATTAGTTGCACTTCACCAGGCCGTCCAGAGCCTGCGTAACCGAGAGGCCGACATGTCCGTCGTTACCGGCGTCAACTTGATACTGGGACCGGACCAGTTTAAAGCCATTGGCTCGCTTGGCATGCTGTCGCCGGACGGCAAATCGTATGCGTTCGACAAGCGTGCCAACGGCTACGGGCGTGGTGAAGGAGTCGCCACCATTTTGATCAAACGACTTTCAGATGCGCTGGCCGCTAATGATCCCATCCGCGCCGTCATCCGTGAGACGGCCCTTAACCAAGATGGCAAAACAGAGACCATCACGACGCCCTCGGGAGCCGCCCAGGAGACTCTCATGCGTGAGTGCTACAGGCGAGCCGGCCTTGACCCGCGTGGAACGCAGTATTTTGAGGCCCACGGCACCGGAACGCAAGCTGGTGACCCGATTGAGGCGCGGGCCATGGCCGGCGTTTTCTGCGGTGTTGGTGAAGACGGTACTGGCGGCCGCGACGAGGCACATTACCTTCGCATCGGCTCAGTCAAGACAAACGTGGGCCACACTGAAGCGGCTTCGGGTCTGGCCGCCGTGATCAAGGGAGTCTTGTGTCTGGAGAGGGGGCTGATCCCTCCCAGTGTCAACTACGAAACACCCAACCCGAAGCTCAAGCTAGACGAGTGGCGTCTCAAGGTGGTAACGGCAATGGAACCATGGCCTGAGAGTCTCATCGGTGGTCCAAAGCGTTTGTCAGTCAATAACTTTGGATATGGCGGCAGCAATGCGCATGTTATCATGGAGAGCGCCGAACCATGGACTTCGACACCGGCTCTACCTCTCTCAGCCAACGGTACTCTGAACGGCAATGGCTATACAAATGGCAATGGTCATGGCATCAGCAACGGTCATGTGACCGGCAATGGAAACGGTATCACCAAGGGCCACTTGAACGGTAATGGCCATGTCAATGGGGCTGATAAAACAGCTAGCAGTAAAGTGATAGTTCTCAGTGCTCGCGACGAGCGTGGCTGCCAGCGTATGGTGGAGGACCTGAAGGCCTACCTGGAGAAACACAAATCGCTCGACTTTGAGGCTGCCGAGGAACTGCTAAGCAATCTCAGCTACACACTGGCCGAGCGCCGAACTCTCTTCCCGTGGGTGGCAGCTCATCAGGTTCGTCTGGACGCGGACACAGACGGCCACCCCCTGGACGCCGTCATCGAGGCCTTTGACTCGCCGAGATTCAAGCCTGGCCGCACACCTACTAGCCAGCCACGTATTGGCATGGTCTTTACAGGCCAGGGAGCGCAGTGGAACGCCATGGGGCGTGAGCTGCTGGAAGAATACCCAGTGTATCGACAGTCCATTGAAGAGGCCGAAGCTCACCTGAAAGATCTGGGAGCCACATGGTCTTTGCTGGAGGAGTTACAGCGTGACCCTAAGACAACGAAAGTACACGCGACATCTATCAGTATCCCCGTGTGCGTGGCGGTGCAGATCGCGCTGGTTCGCCTCCTGAAGTCTTGGGGTATCAAGCCCGCAGCCGTCACCAGCCACTCATCCGGTGAGATCTCGGCAGCCTATGCAGTTGGCGCGTTGACCCATCGCCAGGCTATGGCAACGGCCTACTATCGTGCCATTCTGGCGGCCGAGGAATCGGCTCGCGTGTCTGGGCCGCAGAAAGGAGGCATGGCAGCTGTAGGTCTCGGCGCGGACGAGGCTCAGGAATACCTGGACAGAGTAGCCGATGTAGGCAAAGTTGTGATCGCCTGCGTCAACAGCCCGCAAAGTGTCACCGTCTCGGGTGACAATGACGCAGTAGTGGCCGTCGAGGCTCTATGTAAAGACGAAGGTGTATTTGCACGCAAGCTTAAAGTCGAGCAGGCATACCACTCGCATCATATGGACCCATTGGCAGATGCTTACCATGAGCTTTTACGCAAGGAGATGGCACGGACGGCCACAAAGACGCTGGAAGCAGAGACAGAAGAATTAGAAGATGGGGAGCTCAAGATTATCTTTTCTTCAGCCGTCACCGGAGGCCGCATCACCGACGCCAAGGAGATCGCAGACCCTGACCACTGGGTTGGCAGTCTGGTTCAGCCGGTGCTTTTCGTTGACGCCTTCACAGATATGGTGCTTGGTGACACTGAAGATGCCAGCGGCCGCAATATCGATGTGGTGCTTGAGGTTGGCCCGCATACGGCGCTTGGAGGGCCTATCCGCGAGATCATGTCGCTCGTCGAGTTTGACGGCATCGAGCTGCCTTACTGGGGCGCTCTGGTGCGCAACGAGCATGCTGGCGATACTATGCGCACGGCGGCCATCAATCTGCTGAAGGAGGGTCTGCCGGTTGTCATGAGCGAGATCAACTTCCCAAAGCCATCATCATCCGACCGCTGGCATCTCTATGACGACGACTTGCCTCGTGTGCTGACTGACCTGCCCACCTATCCTTGGAATCACTCAATACGCCACTGGCAAGAGGCTCGCGTCAACTATGCCATCCGGAATCGCAGCCAACCGCCACACGATCTGCTGGGCATGCCAGTTCCCGGAACCGACCCGGATACGGCCGTCTGGCGCCGCTCAGTGCGTGTCTCCGAGGTGCCTTGGGTCCGCGATCATATGGTTCAGGGCAGCATTGTCTGGCCAGGATCCGGCTACGTCTGTCTGGCCATCGAGGCTGCCAACCAGTTGGCTAGAGCTGATGGCCATGGAGATAATATTTCGGGCTTTCGCTTGCGCGACGTCGACTTCATGGCAGCCCTTGTGATCCCGGACGCTGACGGCGTGGAGATTCGCACCACGGTCCGGCCCGTGCCGGAGCGGGAACTCGGCCTGCGGGGCTGGCGGCGTTTCGAGGTATCGACGGTGACGCAGGAGAACCAATGGACGCTGCATGCCCAGGGCCTGGTTACTGTCGAGCTGACCAAAGAGGGAGACGTGGAAGAAAACTCGGGAGGTCTTCGTCCCCTATCGGCTTACACACGTTTCAAGGACCCGCGCGATATGTTTGCCCATCTGCGGGCGCGCGGCGTGTATCACGGTCCCTTGTTCCAGAACACAACCAAGATCGTCCAAGACGGCCGTGAGCCGCGATCCATAACAGATGTTACAATTCGGTATGAGTCGGCGGCAGACACAGATCCGGTAGCGGCCGCACAAGAGAGCGTAATTCACCCCATCACTCTGGACGCCGTGGTGGTGTCATTCTTCTCAGCTCTGCCGGGCGTGGGAGCGCAGGTCGAGGATCCCAGACTGCCACGGTCGATCGAATCCATGTGGGTGTCGAGTCGCATCAGCCGTGAAGATGGCCACACCTTGCGCTGCGACACATCGCTTTCACACGACGACCCACAGGGTGGCCGTGCCGATGTTATCGTTGTCGATGGCCAGACTGGCGTGACAGTGCTCGAGATCCAGGGCCTTGCCTGCTCCTCCCTTGGCCGTGGCAGCGGAGCTATGGCACGCCAGGGCGCCAATGGCTCTCAGACCAACGACTGGGAGCAAGATGTTTGCAGCAAGGTCGAGTGGGCAGCAGATTTATCTCTGCAGCAGCCGGCAGCACTAGCCCAGATCAAGGAGGAACTGGCTGTTGAGGCTGGTGTGTCCACGGCTATTGTTTCGAGTCTTTCTCGTGCCGTCGTCTATTATGCAGAGGAGACCCTCAAGTCAGTCACTGCTGACGACGTTAATCAGCTGAAAGACCAGCAGCCGCACCTTGTCGAGTACTATGCCTGGCTCTCGCAACTAGTCACCCAAGCTGACAGCCAGAAATGGCTGCTAGATAGTCCGGAAGAGCGCCAAAAGCACTTTGCCGTCGTGGCATCACAGGGTGTTGACGGTGAGCTCATCAGCCGTATTGGCCCCATCATCGAGTCCATCCTCCTGGGTGAGAGTAACCCATTGGTGGCGATGGCAAAGGATGGTCTACTGAACAGATATTATGCCCATTCTGTGCGTCTGGCACCGTCACTTACACGCCTGTCCACTCTGGTTCGTAAGGTCGCCCACAAAAACCCAGCTGCCCGTGTTCTGCAAATCGGCGCCGGCACTGGGGCTGCTGCCACTCGGAGTCTTCTTGAAGCCATTGGCACTCCTAAAACTTCTGTTGTAGGCGGCTGGCATATCACCGAGCCCTCAGCAGACGTTTTGGAAGATACCCAGTCCGAATTGGCTGACTGGGCTGACTTTTTGGAGTTCAGCGTGCTCGACGTCAACCGGGACCCATCCAAGCAGAGCTTTACACCCGAAAGCTACGATATCGTCGTGTGCTATCAATCTTTGAGCTCGGCTGAAAATGTGGCTGGAACCCTGGCCCATATTCGTAGCCTGCTGAAGCCCGGAGGCAAGCTGCTGTTGGCAGAGACGACTCGAGACCAGAACCAGGCCGATCTATCCTTCATCCTTGGCCTACTGCCCACCCCAGCCTCGTCTCTCTCGATATCATGGGACAGCGTGCTTCAGAAAGCTGGGTTTAGCGGTGCTGACCTTGCCATTGATGATACCACAACAACCATCCTATCCACACGGCCAACCGTCGAGAACCAGAAGGCGGACCTGAGCCGTGCCAGCAACCCCGGAGGCTTTGCTATTGTAACTAGCAATAAGACGCCTGCGCCAGCTGGCCTAGTTGATCTGCTGTCACAGCATATACAAGACTTGACAAAAACCACCGTGACTCACCTCGTGCTGGGAGAGAGCACCCCTGCGGCCTATGAGTCCAAGGTCTGCGTGTTCGTCGGTGACATCGACGAGCCCACCCTGCTAACCGACCTCGACGCCGTACGTATTGAGGGCCTTCGAGCTATGGTTACAAAGTGCGGTGGCCTTCTCTGGATCACGACCGGCGGCGCCGTCGAGAGTGAGCGTCCTGAACAGGCACTTGCCCAGGGCTTCTTGCGAGTTCTCCGCAACGAGTACGTCGGTCGACGCTACCTCTATCTTGACCTAGATCCCCGCGCTGAAAATACCACCGAGGATACCGTGTCTACCATTGTCCAAGTTCTCCAGGAGGGTTTTGGTCAAGTACAGGACGTCTTGGCCACCGAGACTGGCCCAGCTGAGTTTGAGTATGCCCAACGTAACGGCGTGCTGCTGGTCCCGCGTGTCTACAAGGACGAAGAGTACAATGATATGGTCACCGGCCCGCTTACACCAATTTGGGGTGATATCGATGCTGCTGCTGCTGGCGTCCCCCTGGAACCCCTATTTCAAAAGGACCGGCCATTGCGGCTGGAGGCCGGTATCCCGGGACACCTGGATACCTTGGCGTTCGTGGATGATGACGGCGATGATGACACGGATGAGAGTTTTGGCTCTGAGACTGTTGAGATCACGCCGCGGGCCTTTGGTCTGAGTTCCCGTGATGTTATGGCTGCCTCGGGTCAACTGAAAGACCGCTCCATGGGTCTTGAATGCGCTGGTATTATCTCCCGTGTCGGTGATGAGGCCCGAACAAAAGGTGGCTTCAATGTCGGCGACCGTGTCATGGCCCTCCTGCCCGGAAGCGGCAGCGCTTCTCTCCGCAGCAACATCACAGTCCCCTGGAATGGCGGCATCGTCAAGGTGCCCAGCAGCATCGCCAGCTTCGAGGAGGCCGCATCCGTGCCATTGGCTTTCACAATCGCGTACGCTGGTCTCGTTGATGCTGCACGTCTTGCACCGGGACAGTCCGTCCTTATCCACGCTGCAGCTGGAGCCATAGGACAGGCCGCTATTATGCTAGCCAAGCATCTCGGTGTAACAGACATCTACGCCACCGCCGGAACACCTGAGAAGCGCGAGCTCGTCAGTAAGAAGTACGGAATCTCTGCTCAGCGAATCTTTAGCAGCCGCGACGTCTCATTTGGCTCGGCTGTCTTGGCCGCCACAGGCCGGCGTGGTGTTGATGTCGTGCTCAACACGCTGCCCGGCGTCTTACTGCAAGCCAGCCTCGATGCCCTCGCGCCTCTCGGTCACCTGGTTGAGATTGGCAAGCGTGATATTGAAGCCAACGGCCTGCTCGCACTGGCAGCTTTCTCACGCGGCATCTCGCTGACGGCGCTGGATATTCCAACTCTCGTGCAACGGCGCCCCGCCGATGTTCACCGTGTGCTTTCTGAGGTCGCCAAACTCGTCGAGCAACAGGCCGTGACGCCAATTTATCCTGTAACAACCTATCCCCTGCCTGAGATCCAGGAGGCATTCAAGTTTGTAGAGACCGGAGCACAAACCGGTAAAGTTGTCCTCTCGGCCGGGCCGGACGAGCAAGCTCCGGTGGTACCACGGCCGAAACACGCCACCGGCCGGCTCCGGCTCCGGCCTGATGCCTCATACCTTGTTGTCGGTGGTATCGGCGGTATTGGTCGCTCTATCGCTCATTGGCTGGTGGCTCACGGTGCCAAGAACCTGATTCTGCTCTCACGTAGTGCTGGTAATCTCGATTTGCCGGAAAACAAGGACACCAATGGCGCACTATTCGTTCAGGAACTGCGCGAGTCCGGGTGCCGCGTCAAGCCTGTAAGCTGCGACGTATCGCTGGCCAGCGAGCTGGTTTGTTTGTTTGTTTGTTTTATTATTAACGTCCACTAAGTAAGCTAGTTACATAAGTCCTCATCTGGGCACTAGGACGGTAGGAGCCGCCGAGTTCAGATCGGGCGTTCGCTACGTTTCAATGTGACAAAGGAAATGGGGAAGTATCAATCTGTTTTACGTGTCTGTTTCTGTAGGGGGGGGGCCGTATGGGCTTGTCTCCTCCACTAGTTTCTGGAAATCCTTGTACCCCCCGTCACCGA